AGCGACGACATGAGCCGAGACTCGGAGCCCGAAGGCGCTTCCTTACTTCGATGTCTAATCGTTTTGATCCCCAGTTCCCGATCCAGGGCTGCTCTGGGGATTCTTCCAGCCACGCTCACCGAGACATCGGAAAACTCGGCAGCTTTACATATGGGGCGTTTCAAGGTTGAAGCATTAGACTGCTTTTCTTTGGGTAAAAAATGAGAGATTTCCCCCCTTATAATATCGGAAAAAATAATATTTGATTCCTCTACAACGTTTTTTTCAAAACATGCCTCGGAGAGTCGGAGCTACGGCCTCCGAATTTTCCGGAAAAGTACAGTTTCATTCTGGACTTTGGCGACGGTCATGGACCAAGAAGACCTTTTAGAGGTCAAACGGACCAAAAAAAAATGGCTTTGTTCATAATGACGAATTTGCGCGGAATAATTTTATTGCTTCTTCTAAGAGTGCTCGATGAGCTGAGTTCGCAATATTTATCATAATTATTTTCTAAAAAAAACAAAAAAAAAACAATCAAAATATAAGAGGGAAAATGTGCAGCCTTATGACGTCATCAGAAGAAATTTCCCATTTAAACATAAGTTTTAGTATAGATAGGTTATTGTTACAGCTCCTCCAATGAATGTACAATATAGAAACAAAATGTATCTTCGTGCTAAGTTCACTTGGTATATATGTAGTTTCATTTGAAACGTAAAATTTAAAAAATTTCAGATACCTGCAAATTCTCAATTATTAGCATTGAATTGATCCAAGGCTAAAAAAAATATCGAAAACTCGAGATGAAGGGGAAATTCTATTTTTGGGGGTATTGAATCTTTCAGGGTAAAAACCTGGTTACCCCCTTTGAACCCCCTACCATCCTCCTTTAGTTTCGATTTTTATATTTATCACGCCAATGATGGATTCAGTTCTAAAAATTAATTATGAGAGGGAGCCAACTTAATTGAGTTTAGAGCCCATCACTGCCACCAAAATTAAGCGAAAACGATGATTTCCCGAAAGATTGAGTGGCCAAGGCTCCAACGGGGGAACAAAAACTTACTACAATTCTGATGACGAATTCTTGTTGTGAGCAATAGAAATTAAGGTATGAGCGTTTAATTCTGGGACACCCTGTTTGTTTAGAAATGGTGCATACACAATTTTCGAGCCTTCTTCTTAAAAAGAAATCGTAGTTACTTAACATGAGACGAGCAACTCCGAGGAAGAACTCGGATGGAAGCACAGAGTTTGCTACGAGTCTGCAAAACAACCCGAACATTAATTCGAACCCATTGTCGATACGCTACGAAAACAAACCGGGGGAGGGAGAGGGGGACGAAAGAGCCAACTCCTCCTCATTCGCTCTTGCGACGGAATCATTCCTCCCTCACGCCATCCCCCTCGCTCCTCCCGTTTCCCAAACGCCCGGGCAACATTTGCCACCTGTTGAGAAGTCCAGTTCTCCGCTCCCTCCGTAAGTCACCAGCTGCGACACGAAAGTCGAGCTTTCAGTTTTGGATCGTGAAGATGAGGGGGGAGTTCCTCGGCTAGACAAGCACTTTTTCATTTGATCACGTAACACGGTGGATTGTTTGCGAGTGGCGGAGATTTTCGATTTCACACGGAGAAAAAAACCCTCGATTATACTGCCGTGCTAAGGAAAAGCGCCGTATGAACCTTCAGGCGTTGCCAAATCTACGTTTATAAAACACGAATTTCCTGGTAAACTTATGAATATATTTCTTCCAATTTTTCAGATACTGTTGCTTGCAATTTCACCTAAAGTTCATGAAAATCTCAAGGACAAATATTCGAAACTTTCCTCAAAAATAAACATGGAAACTCCCTTGTTCATACGGCATTCTCCCTTAGCACAGCAGTATACGGAACCGGATAGTTCAGTAGACGCTTCTCGGTTCACAGGACTGAGGACTCAGCTCAGTAGTGTAGATATAGGGATATACGGACACTTGACCTCACTTGACCTTTAAGACGGCCGCAGACAGAGGGAATCGGTGTGACGTCACTGGCGACTGGTTGCGGGTTGCCTACCTATCGTTACCAGTGTTGTAAAATTGTGCAGAAAAATGTTGATTATTACCAGTGTTGTAAAATTGTGCAGAAAAATGCCGATTATTTTAGGATGAGGGGTGGGGTACGGTGCATGGTGTGACGTCACTAGCGACTGTTGTGGGTTGCCTACCCATCACCCGCGTTGTCAGTCTGAGCAGGAAAATCGTGATTAATTGCGGGTATTGATGAAAAATTTGCGGGAAAATCTGTATTATTTTAGGTTGCCTGATCTTACAACCATGCTGTGACGTCACTAGCGACTGCTACGGGCTGCATACCTATCAGGGGTGATGGGTAATCGTTATCAGTCTAGTAAAATCGGGACAGAAAAATCGGAGTTAATTTACTGGGTGATATAGCTTCAATGATGTAAAATTGAGCGGGCTGTTTTACTGTATAAAATGATAGACGTCGCACCAAACAACATTGAAAATTGAAGGATGTCTGATCTTATTTGTTTCGGGTGATGGATAATCGTTATCAGTCTAGTAAAATCGGGACAGAAAAATCGGAGTTAATTTTCGGGTGTTGGATGTGAAATTGAGCGGGAAAATTNTCAATTTTCAATGTTGTTTGGTGCGACGTCTATCATTTTATACAGTAAAACAGCCCGCTCAATTTTACATCATTGAAGCTATATCACCCAGTAAATTAACTCCGATTTTTCTGTCCCGATTTTACTAGACTGATAACGATTACCCATCACCCCTGATAGGTATGCAGCCCGTAGCAGTCGCTAGTGACGTCACAGCATGGTTGTAAGATCAGGCAACCTAAAATAATACAGATTTTCCCGCAAATTTTTCATCAATACCCGCAATTAATCACGATTTTCCTGCTCAGACTGACAACGCGGGTGATGGGTAGGCAACCCACAACAGTCGCTAGTGACGTCACACCATGCACCGTACCCCACCCCTCATCCTAAAATAATCGGCATTTTTCTGCACAATTTTACAACACTGGTAATAATCAACATTTTTCTGCACAATTTTACAACACTGGTAACGATAGGTAGGCAACCCGCAACCAGTCGCCAGTGACGTCACACCGATTCCCTCTGTCTGCGGCCGTCTTAAAGGTCAAGTGAGGTCAAGTGTCCGTATATCCCTATATCTACACTACTCAGCTCTTAGTCGAGCTCACAAATCACTTCAGTTGACAGAACTGAGCTTTGGTTCGGTGAACTGAAGGCTTCATTCTACAAACCGGAAATCTCGGTTCATATGACTGCATTTCATACCGACCTCAGGTTTTCGGTGTGGTGAACCAATTCTTTGGTCTGTAGAGCTGAACCATTAGTTCAAGGAACCAAAGTTCAGTTCTGTTAGCTGAGGCGGTCACTTCGTTCGACTAAGGGCTCATTCCTTTGAACCGAAAAGCGCCTACTCCTACTGAACTATGCGGTTTGTGCAGCCGACCTTTCATCCTCTGTGAATCATCTCTCATCCACGCACGCTTTTGACACAGCAGTGATTCGAGCCGAAAAAAGCATGCCACTGAAATCTAGTGATAAAGATTATGACTAATTTTCCAATACTTCTAACTCCAGATTCTGCGATAGAATTATTAATATTCGACCCAATGGCAATTTTATAGGTTACAAATCTTTGACAAGCGATATTAAAAAATGACAATTAATTCCAATTAGAAATGATACTCTAAAAAAGGTATTTACAGACAATGTGAAACAAATCAATAAAGCTAAGACTTACAAGTATGAAATGGTTTCCAACCAATGAGAATATAACTCACCTGAAACAAAGAATACCAAATGATTACAAATAATTTACATTTCATTGAAATACATGGTAATTCTCATTCACGATGTACAATTTAATTCAGTTTTTTTCATTTTCATAATAGACAAAAGATATATAATTTTCTGTCAAATCAAAGGCAAAGTGAGGAAGCATTGGAATGGATGAACACATTCGCGTTAAAATAAATCACATACATTCAAATCAGATAAACTCAACAGTTTATACAGGATGATCCAACAGTCCCGCATGCACCACCCCTATACCCATAAGGTTATTGTCCTTTTTCAGGGAGGTCCCTTTAAGAATTTAGACGTTCGCAAAAGTAGTTTCCTTTGACCTAGGAGCACTTACACAATTTCACGTTTCTACCTTAATTTCTTCAAAAGTTGCAGGGGTGATGCCTGGTGCCGGTGTTGGTGCGGGACTTCAGGATCACCCTATAAATGGACGTATTTCTATCAAACGGAACTATGTGCATTATGACGTGAGCCCTATTACGCACATATTCTTATGGGTATCAGGGCTCATGTCTTGATGCACACAGTTCCGTTTGATAGAAATACGTCCAATTGATAAGAGTTGCCTCTATTTGGACGTATTTTTACCAAATAGAACTATGTACAGGTGGGAAAGATAGGCTGTGCTCGTTATTCGAGGGTCATAAGAATGAATGGAAATTATAAAGCGCCAGTGACGTCGGCGTCGACGATCGAGCCGAAGGTATTAACTCATGAGCCCTGTCCGCAACGCTCTAGACACATGCCCAAGGCTAATGAGTCCCGCATACAGATGGCATTTAGTACCGTTTGCTGAATTGGAAAAGCGGGCTTTTACATTCTGCCCAACGAAACTATGTGCCAAATACTGTGTGCGAGACTCATGAGCCTTGGGCATGTGTCCAGAGCGTTGCGGACAGGGCTCATGAGTTAATGGCTTCGGCTTGATCGTCAACGCCGACGTCACTGGCACTTTATAAGTATTCCCAATTATTGTTACGGCCCTCAAGTAAGGAGCACACTTCATCTTTCCCACCTGCACATAGTTCTGTTTGGTAGAAATACGTCCATTTGAGGGTTTGAGACATGATTTTAAAAAAGAAGATTCTGGGCGCTGCGCGCTGCCTTGTTTAGTGGCTTATGAGTGTGCTAATAGAGGAGTTTGTGTGTGTTTGAGCAGGTGTTCGTGGTTCAGTTCGTGGACGTGTGCATGTTCAGCAACGGGAAGTTCAAGAACGTGGTGGCGACGATCGACCGGCGCGAGGAGTCGCCGCTGGGGAGCGGGACGGAGGTGACCCGGACGTTCCGGCTGAACCCGGCCAAGGGGGCCACCAAGAACTGGATCGCCCTCGAGGACTCCTACAACAAGGCGGCCGCCTCCCTCGCCTCCACCGTCGTCTGCAACTCCCCCGAGGAGCGCAACGTCTTCGCCATCTACGTCTCCTACTACGTCAAGGTCAAGCTCCTCATCAGCGCCATCGGCGGCGCCGTCTCCCTCAAGCTCCCCTTCACCCTCATGCACTCCCCCTTCGACCTCGACATGAGCCTCTCCACCCCCATGGCACAGGTAAGCTCTCCCTCCGTCAATGCTCAAACGTAGAGTACCTGTATAGCGAGAGTATGGACAGATCGCTTCATGGAGGGCTTAGGGCCCAAAAGTGCAGCCACCCTTCTAACCAACTTCTAACGCACAAAATTTCACTGCCAGTCTGCAGATTCCAATTCTAACCATGATGGAAAAGAATGTACAGAAATGAGCGTTCTTCTGCGAAATTGTGTAAATTTATGCAAAAACTGAGTCAAACACGTGCTTAATAAACGACGGTTCGTAACAATAGTATTAGTAAATCGTTCTGGATAGTTGAAATTCATAGGTTGGCTGCATTTCTGGGCCCTAACTTTATTCGCAGAAGCATCGGTGAAGGCCTGATGGATTTTCGGAGTTTCACATCTTTCCATACTCTCGCTATACAGGTACTCTACTCAAACGGACCCGCCATGACATACCCTCTCCTTCCCCCAATACACTCGTATCAAAGCTCAACAAATTACGTAACGCTCTGTACCTTCCTCGTTTTGACGTTTTGGGTGAAAAATACCGCCTTCCGTCAATTTTTCATCTAAAAGTTTCGAAAACTCTCAGCTGAGACTGCATTCAGCGCTACGTAACACAGCCCTTAGCGCCCCTCCCTCACAAGGCATAGGCTCAGATCTCCGACCCTGGAGTAGTACGTATTTTACGCACTGCCCCTGTTTTTACCATGCTGCTTGGGATCATCTTACATCCTTTGTCGTCTACTTCTCATAGCATCGTTTCCCGGACGAAGGAGCGTGATTCCATTCCAAGGTTGCAAAATTGACCCTATTATTAGGGTTTAAATTGTTGAATTTTTTACAAGAGTGTAACCGTGCAATGTTTTCGAAATTGTTTGTGATTTTTGCATGATATCAGAGGATAAATCAGTGAAATTTTCAGTTAGAAATTCCCAAGATTCTCCTGGTAAAAATGAAATTTGCGAGGGGGAGTTGGGCAGTATTGAAATTGAGGTACATTTTTTTGTGGGAGGAGCTACGACATTGACACAAACTTTCGGTTAATGTTTCTAACAGTTTGGGCCTTAAAAGCGCGTTGTTTTATGAGGGTGGCACAATTAAAAGAAAAATCAAAATTCGGGGAAGGAAAATTATACAAATGGGAAGGCTAGGAACTTTCTGCACAGTGTTGTCTCTTTGACTGTGGACATTTGAACAGAGTTCAGCAGAAAGGAATCAAGCCACATCAGTTATTGTCAAACTTAAACGAGCAGTTTAATTTTTCACAGGAAAACAATTGTGCAGATTTTTTTGAAAATTTTAAGGAATTTGCATGGTACTATGCAGAAAATTCAATGAAATTTGCACAAAAATCCTCACAACCGTTTTCATGTAAAAAATTAAATTGCCCAATTGAGGGGCTTGGAGGACAAGGCGCATACGTGCAGTTCTTGATAAAATTGAGATGTTCATGATTTCAAGTAAAACTAGTCTTAATGCATATTCTGTGAAAAATTCGCTCCCAAATTCCAATTTTTAAGCATCAAAAAGTCAGTTTGAAGTTTATTTCCGCTACAAGGATCCATGTAATTTAGAAACTTCCAACAAGTATTTCTGGAAGTAGCAAAAACTGCACTTATGTGCATTGTCCTCTGAACCCTTCAATCGGACGTGTTTCTGCTAAACGGAACTAAGCGTCAAATTGAGTTCCATTTGAGGATTTTAGAATCCCGGATAGCGCTTCCTGTCAAACGGAACTAAGCGCCATGGAAAAGCATTGCGAGTATAGGACGGAACGAGCATCTCGTTCCGCAAGACCCGCCAATCCAAGCCCCCCTCTCCCTTCCTCCCCCGATGGCGCTTAGTTCGGTTTGACAGAAATACGTCCAATTATATTTGGCAATAACTGATGTAGCTTGGTTCCATTTTGTTCGAGGCGGTGGATTTATTTTTAAGGGATTGAGTGTGAAAATAAATGAAAACTGTTGGATTGTTTAGGTGTACGACCCGCTGCCGACGAACAGCGCGGAGGGGGTGAAGGAGGTGGAGGACGAGGACTTCACGATCACGACGAGCCCGGGCCCATGAGGGTCCGTCATCAGCAGCACGCTGAGCAAGTGCGAGGCCCCGCCGCTCTTCAGCAGCCTCACCAACAAGACCAAGGTCCCGAGCCCCAAGTCCAAGCGGGCCCACAACACCCTCCGCCTCCCCAGGGCCTTCTGCTGCTTCAACTCCAAGGACTCGCAAGCCCAGTGACACTCGACCATCGTCCACCCACACCCACACACACACCCTACACAGCTCCTCCCGCAAACGCGCTGCTGCTGATTTTCACACTTCTTCCATGAGCAAACCCAGTTAGACTCATTTTGAACCGATGCCTTCCCACATCGCTAGGCTTCGTCGCCGTCTTTACAGGGTGTCTCACTCGTCCGGAAAATCCGGAAATTCTCTTGATTTCTTCGAAACGTTCCGGAAGGACTGAAGAAGTACGGGAGTTCCGCAATAAAGTCCGGAATTTTTCGCTTCATACCACGCGTGTCTCTTAAGGAGCTTTTAAGTTGTCTTCGTTTCGTGGGCTTTGTCCCAAGTTTAAGTCGCAGGAATGAAAATTCTGGGCTTTTCACCTTTTGATAAAACAACAAGATTTCCTGGTTTTCTCTCTAAATCGCTCATAGGACTCCGCACGAAGACTCTACTTGGTAAACTGTCATCAGTACTCACTCACTCAATATTTTTTCCATTTTAGCATGTAAGATTAATCTCTGGGACGAACCCCATGAAATGTCCCGTGGGGACAAGGCCTTTGACAGTCTGGAAAATATACTATGCATTGCGCATTGATTCTTGGAGCAGGATTTGCCAGTTAGATTGCGACTGTCCAGTCAAATTATCCCCATCGTTAACAATGAGCTTCGAAGTTTGTGGCTAGCTAAGTCATTTATTTTGCGATGCGCGCATGATTGTAGAATTTTTGTGAATTTCGTCACACAACGGTGCTAAGAGAGTACTGCACTTATCTGTCGAGGGAGTCCTGAATTTTTTGGGAAATTACCGAAAAAGTGCTGTAAAAGTACTGATTTTCTGCCGGTTAGTTCTAGTGGACACCCTGTAACTTGCATTGCGCTACTTTCGACGGCATCTTGAGATTATTCATGGCGCAATCTAAGGGTGTTGCAACCAACAAGCCGCCAGAAAATTCGGAAAAATTTCAAAAATATCAATCTTGAAATAGAATGGAAAAGATAGTAAAGCTCAAGAGTAAATATTTAACTCGTAGAGCAACAGTGTATCACAAAAGTACCACTGAATATCGAAATTATGAACAGCCACGCGATATTTATTTTTTCAAAAATTGAAAATTTCAGCCTCTCCTACGGCATGAGACCTTAATGTGATAAGTAAAAGGCCGAAAATGTGAATTTTTGAAGGAAAATCAAAATTTAATGTTACTTGATTAATCATTCAAGAAGGCACAATATTTTTAGGCAAAGACTTTTTATCAAGCAATGAGCACTGGCCATATTTTGTATTGAAGGATTTTTTTCGGCCTTTTTTCTCTAGGATTGCTAGAATCAAATTGTAGAAAACGATTTATACGATCGACATCTAATTGACCAGCCTTGGCCATTATTTCTTCCTGAGAACATTCATACTTTAACACTTCTTCATCTCAAGAAAGTAGTCCGTCTGGTATCATCTTTGAAAAATCGCACACTCCCAATACTTTTATCTTTAGGATAGTGAACGGGTTGATGTCCTGGCAAGTCCCGAAATAGAAAGAAGTCAATTGAGAGATGGCTTCATCAGATTTAATGAAAGTTTGGGCTGCGGTTGTAATGGCAGTGGCTAAATGATACCTGACCACGAAACGCACGGACTTCGGTCGAGTTGAAAACACGCGAGGCCCCATGTGACTTTATGCCCGTGAGAGAATCGAGTTCTGTGATTTTTGTTGCCACGCTCCTACAGCAGTCGTGATTTTTTATTTTGGTAATATTGTTTTTTTTTTTTTTTTTTTTTTTTTTTTTTTTTTTTACATATGGATCGTATTCGATACATCAAACAGTTGCGATTGTATCGATATCTACTGGTTCAACATGTAACTATAGCCTCAAAAGTCAATTGAGTAATCAGAGAGAACGGGTTTTTGTGGTAGATTTTTAACACTTATGAGTACATAATGGCAATTAAGAGTGAAATTGTTAAGAATTTTCTTATTTTCAGCTTTTCCAACTTGGATCCTAAAATTTTTGTTTGAGGTTATGTTCTATTGTTTTAAACCAAACGATACATCGAACCACCATCGAATACGATACATTTAAATCCATTAAAAATACAGATTTCAGGCGAGACAAGCTGTCTCGCCAAGAATCGATTGTTTTACATACATTTAAATAGAGGAAAAACAGTGTTGCTGACTTGAAAGAATCGCCACTGTCTTAAAGTGGCAATGATCGAAGTTGCAATGCGGTTGTTAACTTTTTGATACTTTATCAGCGAAAATTTATTGAAATAGTACCAAAACCGAAAATATTGTTGTTTCTCATTGCTATAAAATTCTTTCCATATCTATGCCAATTTTTCGGCAATGTAATTGGTGAAAAAATGTAAAGCGGAAAATAGTGATAAAAGGCGACGTCACTCAAATGCTTAGATCCTAGCTATTTTATCGCAATAAAGTGAGGTTGCAATCACGACTTCATTTCTATAAATCGCAATTTTTCTCATTGAAAAATGATACTTGAGTCAGATAAATCCACTGCAATTGCCGAAAAAGTTACGGACGGAAAATAACATTACATTATTAAATAAACTCTAATTTTTCGATCCTAACACTGTGGTGGATCTAGAAAATACAATGGGGTTCACCGTTTGGCCAAAAAAGGGGGAGATGAAGGATCAGAAGTGTGCCGGAAAAATGCAATGAAATCATTTTCAGGCCAAAAGCATCCTTTTTCGCTTTCTCGCTGATAGGTGGCTTACCTCACATTTCAATGGATGTTCAATGGAAAAAAAAGAGAAATGATGGGGAGTTGCAATCCTCTAGTTATGAGCAAATCACCGAGTTTTTATCGATGAAAAGATATAAAAAAACTTCGGGAGATTGCTTACTCATGCGAAAAAAAGATCTTCATTTATAGCTCGCGTTTATCGATGACTCAACGACTGACATTTATGTTTGATAGGAATATGAAGATAAGTATAAAGTATGTTCATGATTTCTATAAATGGAGAAATAAATATAAAAAATAGAAAATCAAAATGATAGGATGATCTTAGATTTTAGAGTACCAATCATTGCTTTCGGTTTATGTCAAACCCTCTTCCCTTAGACCGAGTTATAAATATGTAACCACGTAGGTAGTAGCTTCAGCCTTCATGAAATCAGACTTCTCCAGTGAGAAGCAAGGTGGTATCACTTTGCGATGCTCATCCTCATATCTCGCCAGAATTTGGCATTTGCCAGTTATCTTTTGTAACTTTTTGTAAAATCAATGTGAAATATCCGATTGTTAATTAGTCACTTTTTACAATTTTGTACCTTCTTGTAAAAATATCCTTACTCTGAATATAATAGAAATAGTTCAATGCGCTGTTTTACTCAACTCTCTCTTTTTTTTATGAAAGATTTTTTTTTAATTTGACTGAAACTAAAAATATAATAAAAACAATAACATTGACAACGTTATAATAATTCTGACAACATTGACTTGTCAAGTTAAAATTGAAACTCACAGATTTAGTATTTAAAATAAATAACTAAATTAAATAGTATATCCAGTACACTATGATAGAATGGCTCGGTGAGATTTTTATCTTGATAAAATTTAAATGTAAGGATATATACTATGATTAAATAAAGTAAAAAATTAATTAAAATTCTCTACCGGAAGGAAAAAGCAGACGTGCTGTATTTACGTCAATGTTACCACGAACCATGTGCTTTCCGTTTTCCGATAAGTGTGGGCGGGTTATGTTTTTCAGAAAATGAGCCATTTGAGACTTCGCATTTTAAATTTCTTTAAGGAATTCCACGTAAAGAGTATGCAAATGAAGGAAATAAATCACTATGGACACACAAATAGTGAAACCAAAAAAAAATCTCAACCTCTAAAATCTCGAGTCCTTCTTCCTTATATATGGGAAAACTCACGAGTCTTTTGGAGCCTTCATTTTTAAGATGTTTGTCTATAATGACAGAGAAAAATTGGAAGTGCATTATGACGTGAGTCCTGTTACGCATACCTTCTTACGGATCTCAGGGCTCGTGGCTTAATGCATATAGTTCCATTTGGCAGAAATTCGTCCAATTATGCAAACTCTCACAAATAGAAGACGACTTGTACTAATGGGAATACAGGGAAAAGAAATGAGTTTCCCTTCATATCGGCGGATATGCAATTTAAGATGCATGGGTATTGGTAGATGTAATCATCCTATTAAGATCCTGTGGGATCCTGTTTCAGACGAGTATTCCCTTATTTTAATATTGATTTTCATTGAAAAGCTATACTCAAAGAGGGAAAATCCGTCGCCTTCTGACATAAAGGCGTAACTATAATTAGCACAGAACCCTGTCGCCCGTATGACTCAATGCTTCCATGGGCTCGTCGCAAATTGTAGTCACGCCCTTTGGTCAGCCAAGCGACGATTTATGTGCAACATACGAAATTCAGTTACTATCAGTATGCATCACGAATCAAAGACACGCAAGAACACAAAGTCCATGTCTGACAAGCGTAAAACTATGAGAAATTCAACCAACTTCTAAACACCGAACAAACTGAATTCCTATTCGATTAGCTACAGAGTGTGATTAATTAAACCGGCAGGGTAGGAAATCCACCTTAATACAAAAATCAAAAGCAAAGGATGGTTTTAAGCAACAAACAAACAAAAAAAATCGACGGGTGCTACCATTAAGCACACATTTAGGCCCAGTGGTATACTTGTTAATATAATTATCATTTTCTCATACTCGTTCTCTATAAATGGACGTATTTACCGAGAGTCAGCCTTATAGCATTTCACGTTTCTTGCATTTCTCACGTGTTTTAATTGTGTCGCAGAAAACTGGGCAGCATACCTCTTTAAAACTTTTTGTGTTTACGAGGAACATGCATGCAAGTTTTACTGTTCAAACGATGATGAAACATGAACACAAATGAGACGCTTCCTGATGTATTGGTGTGACTTTGATGGTTGAATTCGCCCAAATCACTTAGGAATTAGATGCAAAATTAGTCTGTAACAATAGCTTCAAATTCATTAATGGCTTTAGGTTTTACACATCTATAAGGAATTATTTATTTTAAGCATTAGATGTAAAATTGGATGGACGGAAAATTCAGCATACCGGCTGGTGAAAGAGAAAAGACTCGACCCTTGAACCCTTTTTTGAATAATTTACAAAAATAAAAATTATAAGGCCTTATTTGTACTGGTCATTATTCATTTTTCATGGAACTTGTTTACTTCCTTTAAAGTAACTCATTTGGAAAATAGTGACTATGAAGTGTACTTCGGTCTGCCAGAGCTGCGTTTACAGAAGAACGCCCGCAAAGAACAGACGGCGCTCAGCTAAGATTTTTTCCTTACGAATGGTGTTTTGTGGGATTTAACTGGAATTAACTTATACGCCAGGCTTTGCTTGGTTATTTTTGTTTCCTTTTTTTTATTTTTTCAGCAAGAAAAATTCTATCTAACAATTGTATGAGTATTCTCATAATAATTAATGAAAAAAATCATAGTGTTTCAAAGTGCTATCTGTGCTACGTATGTTTCTGCATGAGAATTAAAATTAAACGAAAATTTCAGACTAGCACGCATAGCTCCAGTTCGGTACGACATTTTCGGCGATTGTGTCGCGAAATGTTTGCAAAACATTCACGTCTATATTCTTAATTTGGAGTTTCCAGCGTCTAAGGTACCATCTTCCGTGGGCGATGACAAATAGGAGGGAAAAACCATGTAAGAAAGAGTACATCCAATCATGAATGATGCCCTTAAGAGAACGCTGACTAAAATAAACCACATTTTCATTTCATTAAAAGTTAATTGTCACAAGAAATGACGATAATTTGCTCTAACTCGTCTATCATATTTTATGCTTCCTTAACTCATCAACGCTCCTTCAACTATCTGATGTCAAAGCGAAAATTCAATTCAGTGTCATCATATGTGCTTGAAAACATTGCCTAATCATTATCAATTCACCAAATATACCTGTTAGTACGAATAAACGGTCAAAGATGTACATTCAACTTGGCAACCATGTTACGGTCGATTTTCGAAATGACGAATCCCTCCACTGACATGACATTAATTTCGGCGGGTGATTGCTCAAAGCTCAATTAGCTTTCGAGATTTTACGGTGCTGCTGCGTTTAACGACTCTAGAACGGAACATGAGGGGGAAGGAAAACCCTAAACCAGTCGATAATATCGGAAGTTATTTCGATTGATCACACATCGGGCCAAGGTAAAAAAGTCGATTTTCGATTTCGATATCAAGTGGGACTTGCGCAAAGAGCACCCGTTGCCACCAACGCGACCGATAAAAAAGCTGTTCCGTGTGCAGGTGGAACTAAAAATTTTAGTGATCCAACTGATGTTACTAAATAGATTGTCGCACACTTCCTGGTGATTTAACCACCTACCCTAGGGTCCGCTTTGTAGCGTAGGAGTGATGGCGTCTTTGTTCTTCGCAGGCCGTTTGTCAATTAAGTTTCTCTCCAATGCAGGATCTTTGCAACGATCACGAATCACGCACGAAAGATTAGTCACGAATTTTTGAACCTCCTCCTTCCCCTACCTAATTATTTTCTTAATTTTTCAATTAACTCCACATAGTATTATATTTCTGTCTCCTGTCATCCGAGCTCAGGCTCTCTTCTTCTTCATATTGACTCACTTGTAGAGAGTTCATGTTGGTTTACCCACTTAAAAAAGTTAGTGAAAAACTTGCGCGACGTAGCAAATTGGGGTT